GTGGAGTAGTATAAGTCTAGGGGGGCTTTCGCTACTAGGAGTTGTTTTAGGTCTTGGGGGTATGCTGTTGTTAGTAGTGAAGAAAAGGCTCTCGGAGTAGGGGAACTCTATGATCTATGTACCCTCTACTTGTGGAAAAGTAGAGATGAATTCTATTACATAGCTAGGTCATGTTTAGAGTGTTTGCCATTGTCAATCTCAACCATCCTCTCGATGTGTGAGACTTTAACTCAATTAGGGTGCAAACTCTTTTCAGATCATATGCCAACTGTTTTTGAAACATCTCCAGTCATTTTGGTAGACAAAGATAGAATTGTTAGAGTTGGTATTCCTTTTTCTGAGTACAACAAGTGGGGAATAAGAATATTGCTGAGTTAAGTTTATGTTGGATAGAGTTGGTATTCCTTTTAGAAGAGCATAATTGAACGTTAGTGTCTAGTTTTATGTCAGTGAACTCAATGCAGTCAGTTATGGCATGCAGTCTTTATTTTGCAGCAATTAATCCAGTGCAGCTACGAAAGTTGGATTACAGCTCCATTATGTAAGGATGGGAGGAGGGGCTTGTCCACACAATACTCAAATATCAGTGTGATTGGCATTCTGGCTAAAATTTGCTTTCACCAACCATTGAGCTCATTGCATAACGATGATATAAGCAGATTTCCAATCCTTGATATAATTTTTTTTTTCTGGGGATGAAAAGTAGAGCTTTCATTGAGAAAAGTGAAGGAATACAAAAGGATCATAAAAACGAGAACAACAAAAGGGAGCCAAACTAGAGGAACAGGCTCCAATTGAGTCATATCAAACCTAGAGAGTAATTATGTAAGTTTTTGGACACCAAGGTCCAAAGGGAAAACATGAAATTGAACAGGACCTCACACATCATCCCAAGATTTCTCAACTCCTCTAAAAATCTGCTATTTATCTCGGTCTACAAATCCCATAAAACAGCTAGGCACCCTGCTTGCCACAAAAACTGACCCCTATCCCTAAACGGAGGGTGATGAAGAGCAGGCGAACTCTAAAAGCATGGTGATGAAGAGCAGGCGAACTCTAAAAGCATGAAGCACAAACCGTCAAAGTAAACTAATAAGTCGAAAAGAGATTATCGAGATCCTTAGTGACTCTCCTATAAGAATATGACATTGGGGCTTGCTCAAAGCAGAAAAATGCCAGAAGACCGTCAAAGTAAACTAATAAGTCGAAAGGAGATGATCGAGATCCTTAGTGACTCTCCTATAAAGAATATGACATTGGGGCTTGCTCAAAGCAGAAAAATGCCAGAAGATGCGATCCAAAGTATTAACCCTACCATATAAGATATGCTAGTAAAAAAATCTAATCTTCTTTGGAATCTCAAGAGGGGCGACATGAGAAGAAGCATTTGTAGGAAAACCCTTCTAAAAGATTAGGGGACCACAGATGAGAACTCCTCCCCCCTGGATTAACAACAAAGTTCTCCAGCAAGGCTAACAATACCACGAAATCCGACGTCTCCTTACCGGATAAAGGGCGATAGAAACCAAGATCAAAGTAGAATTGCTGGAAGGGAAGACTGAAACCATCAACTGACCCCTCATGGAAGGAATGTGGTATAGACGAGGGAATAAAGAACAAAAAGGATGATCGCCAAGCCACCTATCCTCCCAAGGGTAAGTATCAGTCCCATCCCCACCAACAATGAACGAATGAAGAAAAAGAGGGGAAGCTAGACGAGATGGCTACCCACGTACTCTTGTAAGTGCCTCTAGAACCCCCACCAAGCACCCATTCAATGGGATGGGGACCATAACCATAAAAATTTGACTCTTGTGGAAAACACCATAACCGTTTTCCCAGAAGGCCTCATTATGCAGTCTCAAGTTGCCTATTTCCAATTCCCCTTTATCCAAAGGCTTACTCACCTCACCACTCCCAATTTGACTAAATGAGCCCGCTTCCCTTCATCGACTCCTTCCAAAAGAAGGGAAGTAGGTCGGAGTTCCGCTTAGAACAGATTAAATGGGAGTTTATCTCTCTCCCTTAGAAAAAAAAACATTTTTTCCACAACAGGAGCCCGTAACGACAAAACTCCCTTAGGCCCTATTTACTTCAAGGGAATAGGAATCAAGGAATGGGAATAAATAGTGGGACCCACCTCAAATTTGGGAATCACTCCTCAAACAAAGTTGCAATCTCATTCCTCTCACAATAGGTGTTCAATCCCATTCTATTCCTTATTTCATGGGACCTACAATACTTTTTTTTTTAATTGTTTTACTACCTAGACCCTTTCTCTCTCATGATTCATTCCATTCCTTATTTCGTGGGACCTACAATACTTTTTTTTTTTTTAATTGTTTTACAACCTAGACCCTTTCTCTCTCATGATTCATTCCCCTTTTAGGGTTCTCTTTTGGCTACCCCTTTTTGTGCCTGAAAACCAGAACCCCCAAGCTCTCTTCCTCTCGATTTGCACCCTCCCTTGCTTCTCCGCACACTGCAACCCACAGTGAATAGCAGTGATAAGTCAGAATTGACGACGACACCCCCTGAATAATAGCATCCACGCGACCTCTCCATCTCCGGCGAGCTCAGCCTCACGGCAACACCCATGACAGAGGCAGGCAATCTGTAGGTCATGACTAGGCTCGAATCCCTTGGGAAAGCGGAAAAGATTGAGTTGGAAAAAGTAGTCTGTCTAACCCCTGATCAATGTAAAAGGCTTCTTGTTTTATTGCAGTCATTGTACTTTTAATGATGAAGTTATGAATTATGAAGAACATCTCAGCTAGAAAAGCTTAACGCAGGCATTCTCTGACAAGCTGGGAATATTTTACCATCCAATTCTGAAGGGAGTTTCATTTCTTGTTAATGGCTTTTCAGCTTCTTTCTTCTTTCTGTAACTTATTTGTTCCTTTTTGGACTGTTCAACTGAGCAACTACTTTACCACAAAGCTTTAATGGCAGAACTAAAAGCAGTTTGCCATTTCCATCTTCTGTTCATGTTTTATTTTGTTACTATTAAATAGAATGATGCAAAGTATAACTAAAATTATTTTAAGTAATATAATACAGTTTTAAATTAATTACAAATATATAGGGGTATTCTGGTAATCATAATATGTTTGATTCCGATTCCAGATGGAATTAAATAACATAAATTAGTTTCTAATTCAGATTCCAGATAGTTTCAAGTATACAACATCAAAGGAATAATACTTCTATTCCCATTGATCTCATTCCGATTGATTTTCATAATTCATCGTCATTCTGATTTTTGGTTAGTAAGAAGGGCCTTAGTATGCACTAATAGAAGCCCCAGGTATGAGAAAGGGAAGGATCTTACCTTGCACCCCACCATAGACGCCCACCTGGCCAACTTAGATGCATCATGGCTAATGCCTAAAATAGAACGTTTATTCCTATTAATCTTTAGACTCGAGATTAACTCACAGAACTTAAGGAGGCAATTCAGATTAATAAAGGACTCTTCCCTACCATAACAGAAAAAGATCAGATCAAGGATGTTGCATGGCACTATGCTCCAATTGAGTACCTTGACACTCGAATAACTTCTCCCGAACTAAACTTGTAAAGATTTTGATCTGGTTGTATGGTAGGCCATGTAGGTGAATAACCTCCCTAAGATGAATCCAAGCCACCATAAGAGTAGTACACGAGTGTTTAAGCGGAATAAAGTGGCATTCTTTTTTGAGGCAATCAAGTACCATGAGTATTGAATTGTAACTATTGGATTCATGATAGCCGATAGATAGGTAATGGATGAAATCTATTGAAAAAATAAAAATATTATGGTGCTTGTTAGGAATGGGTATAGGTTGTAGTAACCCATAGGTATGCCTGCTGACAATTACCATCCTAGTTTTTATTTTATGAGTAACCTGAGAGGTCACAAATCTCTTCTTCAAGATTGGAACAAAAAGGATTTCAGCCAAGAAAGAGTTGATGGCTATTATTGAAGATTCAATCAGGACACTCTGCATTTATTTTTTTTAACAGAACATTCTGTCACTATCTCCGGCAAACTAATGCAAAACGTGACTCTATTGATTCCCTCTTATAATGATTGGACCCTTGGGAGAAAAAGCATCCTTTCCATCCCAGGCATTGACTTCGAAAGAAAATATTCTGTGGGTCGAAAAATGTAAATTTAAATGGAATCTGGAGGAGATGAGAATAATAATTTCTTCCATTGTTTGCTCTCTACTAGGGGATGAAAGAATCTTATTGCTGAAATTCTTTCTAGTCAGAATGTTCTTTAGTTAATGATGCAGACATTGAGAATGAATTGTTGTTATTCTTCAAGTCGGTCTTCTCTACAAGTGATAGACTATTTGGGTTCCCTGCCAACTTAATTTGGAGTCCTATGTTTGTGCTGGACCAGAATGCTTTGGAATGACATTTCGACGAGGAGGAGCTTAAATGGGCTCTACACAACTTTGGTACCAACAAAGCTGCTAGGCTTTGATGATTTTATCCCATGACTAATTTTAACACAAAGGAATTTATTTTGTATAGATAATATGTAATTATTATTTTATTAACTGTGCCTCGCCCCACTTAGGCAATGCCTTTTTGTCATCTCTCGTCTTATGGCAATAAAAGAGACTTGTATTCCTTAAAAGGCGCCTTACTGTTTGGAAACACTAGGGAAGTTAGTGTAAGAAGAAACGTTCGTCAGGGAAAAGTTAGAAAACAATCCTGATCTGTTTGAAGGTTATTATAGGTCCTAGTGGAAAAAGCAGGGGTTCAGGGATTGAGCTTAGAAACTGCGTAGAGAAAAAGATAATTAAAGATATTGCATATTGGAAGTAGCAGTACAGATCTCAATGTTTGTACAATATAGAGAATAAATTGAAATTTGATCTGGGTAAAATCCAAAATAGAAAGACAATTTGTTTCTTTATCTAAACCTGAAAGATTATAAAAGCAGCATTAATGGTAAATGTCTACGATGGAAAACTTAAAAAAGTAGGGACATAAATAAAGTACTTAAAATTAAAACCAGCTTTAATTAAAGTAAAAACTCAAATCTCAGCAAACTTTTTCCTTTTTATTTTTTATTTTTAATTTTTAATTTCTAAGAACAAAAGAGTCTGTAAATTTTCAAACATGTACCATAGCCGAAGCGCTCCCTCTCTCTACTCATGATGTCATGGCTATTGTCTTTCTGATCTCCTATTTCATGTTTGTACATGATATATTTTACCATCTAATTTATTCTGCAGAATAATATATCTTAGGATCCAATTTAATAAGCAAAAGCAATTACTATAATTATTATTCTTTTTTATTTTTTATTACTTTAAATGGAGTGCATACTGCATAAATTTTTTATGTTAGGTTGAATATTTTTTGAACATTAAATGGGACTCCCCAAGTTCTCATCTATGTCACAACCCTCTCCAATTAGCATTTGATATTTCTCCCTTTTGGAGGAAGTTAGCATTTTTATGTTCTTGTGAGTTATAAGACGTGAGATTTTATGAAGGGTTTATATATCAATATATATCTATATATACATATATATATAATTTCTATCATTTACGTTCTTGTATCATTGGTTGTTGTGAGATTTATGATCACCATGAAGCTTATTTGTTAACTTCAGGGTCCTAGAAAGAAAATTCTTCTTGCGATTGCTCCACGTTCCAAGCGACAACTGTGATCGTTATTCTTCTAGAGGAAGTATCGCTTTCATTGGCAGTTTTAACACCAGTGCTGATATCTCGAAGACCCGAGACATGATAGTGTATTATCTTTAGATGTTAGTGGTAAGAGAGAGGTTCTTGGATCTCTTGTCGTATCATTTTTATTTAGACCAATGGCATCCTAACAATGATAGGAAGGGTATAACTTTTGTTTCCATCCCCTTTCACATACATTCATGCAAAATCAAAACATTCTCAAAAACATTTTTTTGTGCACCACCATCGATACAATTTTTTGCTCTCCCCATGCATTATGATGAAGCCTGGCATAATAATGTCTCAAATTATAGTAAGGTTTAAGTTTAGATAGATTTGTATGTTACCAAATTCTTAATTGGACTTGGGATCATTGCTTCTGCATAAGAAAATTGTGCTCTAGATTTGTTGTCTCTAATCTTTCTTTTACCTTTCAGGACTCTGAATTCTAAGATTGTTAACCCTTCCTCTCTTGTACTTTACGACTTGGTTATGTGATTTTTATCACCTTTTTCTTTGGGTGGAAAACATCATATATAATTGGTTCTTTACCATATCATTTTCTTTTGATTGTAGAATAAACTCCACGTTGGTCTTTACAGGTATGTTCTTATTCTGGCTATGTTTGAGAGTACTTTTAACCATGAAAAAATGGTTGAGGATGTAAAGTATATAGCTATTGACTAAAATTATAAAGCACAAATGCTCATTTTGATTATATTAAAAATATGATTTATGAAGGACACAAACATGACTTTAGCCACTTAACCAACCATATGAAGAGTCTTAATTTTAACGATTTTAATAACTTAATCAACCATATGAAGAGTCCTAATTTTAACGATTTTAATAACTCTGGTGCAAGTGTATACTAATCGGGTAGTAAGTGAAAAAAAAAATCGAATCCACGGGGATTTAATAACTAAACACTTAACTTTCACTAAAGTAATGAGTAACAAAAAAAAATATGAATTGGGTTATCCTAAACTATTTATAAAATGAAAATGCTTAATAACACAAGTATAGAAAATCTAAGGACTATGAATCAGAGGAAACACCCAAAGCAACTATGAAAGGTCGTAAATGTTAGCTTTATGCCTTCAATCGAAGTAAATATTTCGATGATCACAAGTAAAAACTAATTCAATGATCACGAATAAGTAAAAACTAACCATTTGAGTGTTTCAAAGTATCTATAGTGTAGATGACATGCGGTGCTTTCAATCTCCACAATTCCATTTCCACAAATTTCTCTCAATCTCATCAACCACTCTCCATCTCCATAATTTCTCAATCTTCACTAATTTCTTTTAATCACCATAATTATTTTTATTCATTTTTACTTATTCTTCATCTTAATCTCCACCACTCATCTTTTGTTTTACTAAATTGAATGACCAATTTTCATCATCGAAAATCTATTTAAAGCCACAAAATTTCACTATTCACCACACCAAATATCAAAGTAGATATTTTTCTCTCTTCAAATTCTTCTCTCAAGTTTTGCAAAATCTTTATGATCCCTCACATAACTTGATCATCTCTTGTGTGAGAGATACATTAGATTGTGACCTTTTAGCCATTACTGTAGTACAAAATTTGTGTTTTTTTTTTGTGATTTGTATTCTTCTTTTAAATTGGGTTTTGTATTAAGGTGTGGCTACACCTTGGGTTGTGAGAAGACACAATTGATTGGATCTTGAACCAGTAAAAAGAATTGTGGGTTTTTCTTTAGTCTAAGATAAAAAAAAATGGTCAATTGGTTTGGTTCTTACCCAAGAAGAAGTATTGGGGAGTGGAGTGGGAATTTCCAAACCACTATTAAAATTCTCGGTGTCAGGGAGTGGAGTGGGAATTTCCAAACCACTATTAAAATTCTCGGTGTCACTCGTTCTCTTCTCTCCTCATTTTTAAATTCGGTATTTACTACTTTGAGTTATTTTGCTAGATTGTATATAGGTTTAGCTTAAATATTTTGTTCAATAATTCTTCTTCTTGTTAATATTCTTTTGTTGATGGCATAATTGGTTGTTACCTTGAATTTTTTTTCATGAGACAGCTTGAATTTATTTTTAATTAAAAAAATGGTAAGCAATCTTATTCACCCCCTCTAGCGTTACCAATCGATCTTATAGTAAAAAATTGGGGGTTATATTCTGTTTCTATCTTATTACTAATTAATGCTCCAGCGAGAAGTTGTTTAGAGTTGCTAGTCAAATAGACGCAGTACCTTTCCAGATTACCTAGATTTTTCATTAACCAAACCCCCATTTGAGTTAACAAAATATTAGAACAGTTTATAGCTATATTAGGTGAGTTTTATCCCTAAGTACCCAAACTCCATATTAAAGTCTCCCTCGCCTTTGTAGGATCGAATGACAATACTAGAGAGTGGTGAATAAGGTTGCTTACCAATTTTTAAAAATTAAAAATAATTTCAAGGTAATGAACAAATATGCAATCAATAATAGAAAATTAACAAGAAGAGGAAATATTGAACAAAATATTTAAGTAAACCTATATGCAAACTACCAAGATTCAAAGTAGATAAATACTGAATTTAAAAGAGAGAAGAGAAGAGAGTGGTGATACCGAGAATTTTTATAGTGGTTTGGAAATTCCTACTCCACTCCCCAAGACTCTTTATTGGGTATTTTACTGCAGTGGCTCTCTTACGGGTGAGAACCAAACCGATCGACCCTCTTTTTGTCCAAGGCTAAAGAGAAACCCAAGATTATTTTTACTGGTTTAGGATCCAACCAATTTACTTTTCTCATAACCCAAGGTGTACCCACACCTTAATACAAAACCCAATTTGAAAACAAAAAATTTTTCTTTTGATAGTTGGTGTGTGGAATGGTGGAATTTAGTGGCTTGCGATGATGAATTTTGGCCATTGGATTTAGGGCAACAAATGATGAATGGTGTAGCTTAAGAGGTGAGGTAAGGAAATGAAATGAAATGAAAACATAATTATGACGATTAAAAGAAATTAGTGGAGATTGAGAAATTATTGAGATTAGGAGTGATTGAGGAGATTGAGAGTGATTGGGGAGATTGAGAGAAATTGGTGGAAATGRATTTGTTAGAGATTGAAAGTGCCACATGTCATCTTCTCATTTGTTCGATTGTTGGATGCCATGTCAGCATAAGTATGTCCTCTTGATGCCACATGTCAACTTCTGAGTGGTCCACTTGTCCATGTCACCCACCACGTAGGATTTGTCCACTTGTCCACGTCACCTGCCACGTAGGATTTTTCTCCTGACTTGTTTTGACCATAACTTCTTCGTTTAAGCTCTGATTTGAGTGATTTGACAGGCGTTGATTTTGTCTTTTCAAGCTTTAGCTATGGATACTTTGAAATAGTCAAATTGTTAGTTTGTACTTGGTTTGTGATCATCAAAATATTTGGTTTGATTGAAACAATAAAGCTAATAACCTTATTACAACCTTCTAACTCATAATAAGAAGCTAGCTAAAAAATTTTGATCAAGCATCTTAAACTTAAAAGAAAATAAACGTAGGCTTTAATCAAGCAAAACAACTTCATCAACTAGAAAATCAATGTTTACAAGCAATGGTTCATAACCTCATTAATGGATTTAGCTAAAAAACGACATTAAATGACAAAAGGAAGAAAACATAAAACCAGTTTGGTTAAGACAAGGAAAGAAGAAGAAAATAGAAGAAAACAAGGCTTACTCGGTAAGCTTGTGCTCTCTCTCTCCAGCTGTCTTGTTCAAAAATGCTCATTTCATGGTACGATTCTTCTCCTTTTTGTCTCTATAGTTGGTTTTGGGATTGATGAACGAGAAATCACAAAAGGGAGGCAGCTCCCTCTCAATGCATTAATTTATACTCTCTTTAATTTTAGGGCAACAGTGGAGGGGTATCTAAGGTCCAGCGAAAAATTAGGTAAAATAACTTTTACTACATTTTTTCCTCAAGTAAAAAGTCTTCTGTTGTTTTCTACAGCTCAACTACCAGTGTTAGCTCTGATGCTCCAGCATCACCTACGGGAGCAAATAATCTTGAATGAGTGGTTTTCTTCATGAATTTTCTGATTAGCACAAAATATGATCCATCTTCGAAAATTCAATTTCTAAACCTGAAACACTTATTAACAGAGCTAAATCATTCAAAAACTCATCTATCCAAGACAAAGTTTCACCTGAAATCATTCTCTTACGAGGAGTTATCACTAACATAAAAGGAGATACATGTAACTCTCAAGAAAATGAAAAAACTCGTAACCTACCAAAAATTAAAAAGCCTAAAAATGCATAAACTGGGAAATAATTAAAGGGTCGTTTGTTTCGTAGGAATCTGAGATTTCCGTTGGACGGGCATCTGGATTCCCACGTTTGTTTTGAGAGAATATAGGATATCCAGGAATCTTGAGATGTCCAAGCATCATAGGATGCCCGTACGTTAGGCATCTTACGAGCTTTGGATGCCCTTTTGAAACACGGGTCTCCAAGATTCCCGTGTTGAAGGCATCCACTTTTTACATTTTTGTCATTCATTTTTTTCTTCACATATTTTCTTTCATCAAATTTTTAATTTTTCCTAAAAAATTTCTTTTATTTTTTATTTTTAAATTTATAATTAAGATAAATTAATATAACAAATTTATGCAATTAAGTATATTTGTACATTAGATTAACATATAAAATAAATTGCAATTAACTTATATAATATATCCATTTATTTTTAATACTGTAAAGGAATCACATTATAAATATTTATGATCATAACTATATAATTTTAAAGTTACATTTTTTATGACCAACATTCATGTCATATTTTTCCTCCTAAAAAAATATAATGTGATGATATAATAAATAAATTACGCAAGATAGCATAAATTATATGTTTGTCTTTTTGGAAAACTATTAAAGTTGAAAATGAAATTTATATTAARTTAATATGAATTAATTTGTTCTACAAAATAACATATAAAAATATAAAATTATTAAATTAATTAAAATAAATCTATTATATTAAATGAATTTATAAATTATATAAGTATTCATAAGAGTATTTTTGGAACATTCTATAAATTTAACACCTCCCCCAGAATAAATTTTGCAAAACAAACGTGGCTATCCAAATATTCACAGATATCTTTATAATTTTTCATACGAAACAAACATGGTTATCTAAAGATGCCGGACATCTAAAAATCCGAGCATTTCAAATTTCAGACATATATAGATGTCGGA